TGGGTTCAATTCCAGACCTGAAGGGCAGCTAGGGTGAGCTAGGGGCCATAGTCTCAGTGGTTCCATCAGGCTCTATCGGACCAGCAAACCTGTCCGTATCGATTTTTCTTCTTTTTTTTTTTTTTTTGTCTGGGCCTGTTTTTTGTAAAATTAAAAGCTGAGGAGTAGACTAGATCATAGGTTCTTAACTTAGGGCCCATGAGTGCTTCAGGGATACATATATACACTCCTAAAAATATATGGAAAATAGTGTATCTTTTTACTTCTGAACAATGGCCCACAGCTTTCGCCAGATCTTTAGGAGGAGCTATGACTCAAAGAACCCCAAGGCCTGAAGAAGCAGATGGTTCTGTGATGATGTAAGCAGGGAGCACAGATGACAAAAGGGTAGATTCTAGAAGTGAGATTTTTCTTCTTGGATACTGTACTCCTCTCTTGACCTTGGCAATGTGGATAGTGGGGGAGAAGGCCTACCATATTTTTATGCAAATAATGAGCACATGATGTATTTTTTGCAAATCGTGCAACCCTCCCATGCACTGGTTTCCTATGCATGCTATGCACATTATATGTGTGTGTGTGTTATTTATGTGGTTGTATTATCTGTGAAAAAAAATAAGGTAATTCTCCTGTGGATGGTAAAGCTTAGTCACCAAATAACGGTGCCCCAGAGGACCACTGGTGGTCCCTCTCCAGGAGCCAAATAAAGATTCCCATGCCACACAAGAAATCTCTATTCCCCTTTGTGACACCAGCTCAATAGTGTCCTGTCCTGGGTCCATCCCATCTGATCTTTCCATCATTCCTGACTACAGTGTGGACACAAATTCATATCCATACTAGAGGCAAGGTTAGGATATTGACACAGAGGAACTTTCATTAGAAACTGGAGGGTACCACCACCTTCAAAAGAAAGCACTTTGAGATTAAGAAGCCTGCACAAAACACCGCATAACGTGGATGAACTTGGAGGACATTATGCTGAGCGAAATAAGTCAGTCACAAAAGGACAAATATCGTATTAGTCCGTTATTG